AATATTATGCCGAGGAAGCAGGTACGGCCCTGCGACACAAGGCTTCCGCATCTGACCATCGGAAAAAACTTCGTTATCTCTTTCGATCAGTGGAACGCCTTGAACTTTTCCGTGCCCTCTCCCCATCTCACACCCGAGTCGGCGGTACGCCCGTGTGAAGAAGGCCTTTGGCGATACGTACCTATGATGTCGATCGGGGCTGATCCGAATTCGCGTGGCGGTTCAACCGACATACGAGACGAGCCGATTCTGCCTCTCCTCTCCTCCTCCTCCTCCTCACAGCGCGTACGTCTCCTCCTTCGCAACACGGTACGCGGCGCCGACCGCGTACGGCGAGATGCAAGACGCGCCGCCGTTGCCGGTGACGACGACCGTTTCTTTTTTTTTTCTTCTTCTCTCTCTCTCTGCTCTGCGCCTCACTTCACACGTCACCGCGGTTCGCCGCACTCGCGTATCACCACGATTCACACGGCGAGACGCGCGACGCGCTCGCTCACCGCACTCACTGCAGTCTCTCGTCCACGGCGATATGGATATGGCGCGTACGCATTGTGCATAACCGCGTATTCACACAAAGTCGATGTGCACTCGGGCGACCCGGCCCGCCGGCCGAGCGTTCGTTTCTCGTTCACCCGCCCGCCCTATCGTTCGTTCGTTCGTTCGTTCGTTCCTCCGTCTGTCCGTCCGTCCCTGCGCTTCTGTCTGCTTCTGTCTTGCCGCCGAGCGTCGCGTTTTTTCGGCTTCGCGCTCGTTCGTTTCTCCCGTATACCGGCGGCGTGCACGATACGCCGAATCGTGATCGCGCACACACGCGGCACGCTCCGTCACATGTTCCGAGCCGAGCCTTCCTCTACTTCATCGACACGCGTGCACATACGCACGCACGCACGCACCTTTTCCACGAGAAAGAATGCCCGAGTTCCGGAGTTCCACGCGCGAGTAGCGACACAGCGACCGAGTTCTCCCGGATGGAGGGGAGAAGATTGCCGGGCATGCGCAACGGCGTCAACGTTAGCAGACGCGCTCGTTCCCCAGATCGTGGAATTTCTTCGCGCATGCGCGCTCGCGCGCCCGCCTGACCACGTGACTGTCTCGCAGCCAGTGCATCGCGGTGACCGCGGTGGCAACAGGAGGATGGGAGGGTTCTTAATTAAAAATTGTTCGCCATTTTATTATTTTTCATTTATATAGGTATATGTATATATCTTTTCAATAAATTCTAGTATTTGTACAAGACGACTACGTGCTTAAAGATTTAATAAATTTCACTACGTCGGTAGACTAGGTTGCGATCAAAGTTACAAATGCTTTCGAAGTTTTTGATGGATCAATCAGAAGAATTTTACAAATTGATCAATTAAAAAACGCTTTAAAGAATTTGTAGCATCGCGTTGACTTTTGAGAGACGCAATCGATACAAACGTCGTTCTATTCTTCTTATTCTATGTATAACAAAAATAGAATGACACTTATTGTGTCTACTAATCTCCTTGTGGTTAGGTCTAACCACAAGTTAATCAGATAATGAAAAACCAGGCCTAAAAGGAAGGTAGCTTTTATTTGACTAACAAAGTATGTTTTCTAGCAAGAGATACAGACAACACAGGATGCTTTCCATTTGGTGACGTAAGTCGACCGAATGACATTCTATCTTGTTACTTTATACTGAATATGTCAAGAAAGATAGAAATGATGTTTGTGTCAATTAAATGAAAAGCACTCACAGTGTAATGCGATGCATGTCTATAGTAGAATAGTAAGAAATTAATCAAGAAATTAATTCGTACGAAATTAATCACAATCAATTATTTTCTTTACATTCGATCGTGATTGGCCAATTTTTTACGACTTAAGTAATTTATTTTTACGACTTGTATCGTTCCTTTTGATGTTTTCTGTCTTCTTGTCATAAAGCGAACTCATATAAGCCCTTATATAGAAATGTAATACTAGTCAATATTTAATATTGAAAGACAATAATTAATTACTTATTTCAAGTATTGAAAATATCATTGTTCGATACTTTTAATATTCTACATAAGTAATTCATTACTGTCTTTCAGTAATAAATTGTCTATACACATATATGATTTTTATAAGACAGCACTATGGTACTCAAAAAAATGTAAGCAGTAAAACTTAAATCGTAAGTAAATCGATCGATCACAGTAGAAAACGTAAGCAATAAAAAGTAAAAAAACGTTAATTTGCTTACTATTTATACGTTTTACTGTTCGTGGAAAGTGTGCGGGAGTCCTAACGGTACTCTTATTTCGATAAAATATTCACGCTACCGAATATTCTGTACAGTTTCAAAAAATCTGAGAAAGTTGTCTTATTCTTTAATCATATAAATTTTTATCGTTTAAAAAGTATCGCGCTTGAATCGTCACAGAGAGAATTAACAGAAAATGTCAAAACAGATGTTAGTGATGTTAGATTTATAGCGGACGATAAAGAAAACTACAAAATAAAATTTATTTAGTATTATTGAAAGAAAATTCCTATGCGACTTAATAACGATACTTTACATTGCTCCTTGATCTGCCGGAGCTAGTCAATGACATAAAATGTTCTTGAATGTACACGAACGTGCTGGGATCGAATATGTTGTAAGCAGGTTTGAACCTGATCGGGTTTTTACGACGCATCGAAAAACGACTGCGATATACTCCCGAGCGGAATCATGCTTGAACAAGATCAAGCTCTTTACAATTCTTTCGAGAAATAAAAATGCTGTTTCCGAGTGAAACGAAGTTCTGAATCCGAATCTCTCAGAGGAGGACTCAAGAGAATACCGTTGACGAAAAGGTCGCGATCTCTTTCTCTCCCAAGTTTCGAAATATTGAAAAACTACGAGGACGGTTTTACGAATTTTATGCGTCCATCGCATTTCGATTTATTTCTAGACATCAGATAGAGTCATAATAATAATATATTACATCAAGGGATTGATTGTGTATCTTGAAATGAGATAGAAATTACAAAAATTGAGGAAATTCATAAATGCCCATTTCTACCAATGTATAATAGTTTAATTTTAGTCTTGAGAGATTAACTCTTCATCTTTTTCTAGTTAGAAGAATTAGAAAAAGATGAATTGAGGTTTAAGTTATTCTATGTTGGTAGAAACGGGCATAAATGTTAACCAACGAGATTATAAATATTCCAGTATATTCACTTTTTTGTAATTTTCACTTCATTTCAAGATATATATAATCGGCTCCTAAGATTTAATTTGTCATTATAAGTTAATTTATAATAATTTATAATTTATAATAAAATCATAATCAAACGTCTTTACAATATCAATGTGACTTTTGTGTTCTACCTAGATTTTTCGCTTCTTTTTCATTTGAAAATATTGTACTAATATGAAATCTATCTATTGCTAAAGTAAAAAATCGATGCTTCGTTATTGCGCAACAATCTTTTAGAAAGTTTTCATCGCTCTAATTATCCGCTAATTATCATTCAACTTGCGGCTAATTTCAATCGGTACATCGTAATATCGGACTCCGTAAAGCGTTTCATTTCTGATCATAAATGTATAAAGACCGAGCTATTCGAACGCGTTCTACTAGTAACGCTGGAAAGTTGCTAAGTGAAATCTAAATATCGAAGACAATTCGTATTCGCGAGTATATGCTCGAAATTGATCCTGTCATCCCAGAACGCGGTTGTGAAGATGGACGCGGAGAAGAGAGACGGAGGAGAGGAGAGTCACGGAGATGCGATCGACGAGTAAAGGAGGGGAGGAGAAGGGAAGGATGGGGGCCTGTTGCCCGGGCACCTCAACCTTGAGCGTGCGGACGGGGAAAAAATCGCGACGCCTCTGCGCAAAAATTAACGAGAGCGATACAACATGGCGGCCTCGCCCGCTGTTGATGTTTGTTCCCTTCGCCCTCCCCCTCCCCCAACCACCTTTCTGCGCGGGCTCCATTTCGCTGGGTATCGTTTTGGGCGCGGTGTCACGCCGTCCGGATGAGTGACTGGAGGGTGGAAGGACGAAGGGAGAAAAAGAGGGCAAAAGGGAGACAGGGACAGAGAGAGAGAAAGGGACAATAGGTCATCCTTCGAGATCCCAGCAACCCCCTGTCCAGGCTTGTTGGCGCAGGTCGGGTGTCGCCAGCTATGAGGCTTACAGGAAACACCCCAATATCGGACCGGATGCGGCATCTAGACGCTTTGACAGTCGTCTAAACAAACCCCCGCCTCCGTGAATCCCACTCCACCTGTCTACCGTGTTGCATGCGGCGTCTCGTCGTGGCCAATCGGAATTCAGAAGCGAAGCGCGAGTTCGCAACTCACTTCAAGTTGGATGTCGCTTCTATCGAACGTGACGCACAGATCTTGCGAGATTGATATATTTTTTAAAATCTTATCTCAACGAGGAGATTAAGTATCTTCAATATGCCACGAGATCATTTCTAGTCTGATTTTCTCTCTAGTTTAGAAAAGATAAGAATTTCTAAATAATTGTAATGTTCTCTTGAAAATTTTTTTTAATGAAACTCGCTTTGAATTCTTATAGAAATTAATACTAATGCGGGCCAATTAATACTCATTTTGAGTAATAAGTAATTAATTGATCAGTACTAGTATTAAATTTCTGCAAAGGAGAAGCGAAATCTCACTCTTAAAGATTGAAAATTTAGTCACTCTTTTTAAAGACTGGCTCAATTTTCACTCTTTAAAGTGAAATCTCACTCCAAATTTAGAGAGTTTATAATTTACTTTTCTTTGGGATCAACAATCCTAAAAATTCTGTATCTCTGGAAATTTAAAATATTTTCTTAAAGATTAAGAAAAATTGATTGTTACTAAAAGCGTCTTATCCATTAAAAAACGTTAAATTCTAAAAATATAATAAACAAATTATACTCGATTTTTCTCGCGACGTAAAAAGAGCGACGATTTAAATTTCATATAGGACATATATATTTTTTATAAGACAAGATTACATGGAAAAAAATGCCAAAAGACGATTGAATTGCTCTTTATGCCATGCATTATTTATTTATCGATTCATACATTTTTAAAAATTGATTCACATTTTCAAAAAACATCTGATTTCTATTATTACAGGAGTGACGTAAAAACGATAGATCGGTACACAATCCTACGGGACTTTGAAGTCGAAGGAATACTGATTAGAACGGTTTCAGCATGTAAAAATGCTCACCCGGGACTATCACATCCGCGGGAAACGGTGGAGGTAATTCGTAGCATTAAAGTGGTACAATAACAGACTTCTACGGTACGCAACACAGGTTCCGCAGGTTGTAATGACGAGTCTCGACCCTTCCGCAGGTTCGTACTACTCTATTCCGGAATCGTATTTCGGGATTGTATTATTGCGGGGATGGAAAAGAAACGCTGGGTATAATACATACAAGAAAACGTTGTGACATCGCTTTAAAATTAACTCGGGGATGGAGGAGGTTTCGCACCCCTCATTTTCGGTCATGGGACGAAACTCGTACTAGAACGCGGGGTAAAACTCGTGTTACGGATCGAGAATGTGTACCGAAATACGCACGAGTAGAATATGAGAAATTTATAGACATACGAAGCTGCAAGAGAGACACGTTCGCAAGCAGTTCGGAGAAAGATGTATTTAGTATACATTAAAAAAAAAAGAAACGAAGTAGAAAGTATCACATCGCGCCGCGCAAATAGCTCGGCGCAAGTAGTTCCGTGTAGTCTAGGAACGAGAAAAACGTAAGAATCATTGAATCAAGTGAAAATTAGTCTACTCCTTTTTTCCTTCTTACAACTAATTACATACTCCTATATTCGGTGCATTAACCGTGATTTAACGCAGTAATAACAATACATAATCATTTTTTTACAAGTATTAGCACGATAAAAAATTCCTTCATACATACTTTGTTCTACTCCATCAAATAGTAAAAAATATATATGAAACAAAAACGAGAAAGCTTTTTATCATTCTAATATCTTAACTTATTTATTTTATGACATTCCAATTTACAAAAACAAACCTTTGTTTTTGTCAAATAGATTATGAAGAATAATTGATATATAAAAATTAAGATAATCAGATTTTGAAAAAGCTCGCTTGTAAAAAATGTATTTATTGCGGATAATGGATGAATAATTAAATCGGGTTAAGTCTTATATATCTAAACAAAGATTCGTGTGAATTTGGTATTGTTGCTAGGACGTTAAGTCGATTTTTATCCGAAGGAATAAATGGAGTATGTTTATTGTTAATTTAATAATGCATAACGGCACATAAAAAAATTAAAACGCAACGACGAGCGTCTCGACGATCGTTAAATCGACCGATAGAATATATATTATACACTGCTTGAAAATAATTGGGAGGTTTCTGCTTTAAACGAACAGCTTAAACATCAGTTTATTAAAAGAGCTAAAAAAATATCGTGTATTTATATAAATATATTTATTAAAAAACAAGATAATTAATTCTTTATGGAACAAATTTTTCAAAAAGTGTAACAGCATCACATGTTAAAGATATGAAAAATATCGTGAATCATTGAATTTCCTTCAATCATTGATGGTTTCTATTTTTGGAGGCCCGTAACATTCCTAAATTAAAAAAAAATACTTATTTATTAATTTATATATAATGAGTTTATATATTTTCTATTTTAACAGAACCAACATAAAGGGGCACTTTTGCCAAAAAAGTCATGCTTCAAAAAAATATCTTCATAAAAATAAAAATAAATTTTAATTTTCAGTTCTTATTATTCAACAAAATAATTAACTAAATTAGATTTTAAAGAAAAAGATGTATAATATAACTAATATTTCAATATATATATATCTATATATCGAAGGCTACTTGGCATTCCAAGATTCTAATCTCAAGATTTAAACTTTGTTCTTAAGTAGATATTCATAATCTTTAAAGCTGTTATCGTTCTTTGAGAAAGAATATAAGCCTCCAATTATTTTTGCAGCGTATTGATTTTCATTGTTTCACAGTTAGATGCGATTCGACGCGCGTCGAGGGCGTCGGGAAGTGGCTTGAACTAACATCGATAGTGCTTAGAAAATAATGCACAATTACAACGAGCTCCGTGTTTAATACCGCTGTTATTCGCGGTCTCGAACAGATACAACAACGAGCACGAAAAGGACAGCGAAAAATCAACCGACCTCCCGCGATTCCTCATCGTTGAATTAAGCCGCGCGATTAATTAATCTACGATCGCGAAGCCTCTCTCGTCGGCGCGTTCACGCACACAATATAATACGCATAGAATAGACGAACACGCAACGTACATACATATACATCTTACAATTCGTTATTCTCGCTAAGTGAGACAATTATTCGGTAGTGTACTGACGCGATTACATTGGCAGAGAAAAATATATAGCGCGGTTGGTTCATTCGGATGATGGTCCGACATCACAAGCAACAACGAGTGAGACTTCCAATGCTGATTCGATGCTGATGCCATTTCGATCTCGCATCGACAGCATACGAAAAGGAAACGGGTCTCGCGCTTATCTGCGCGCTGTTCACGCGCTTTGTAAACCCATCTCCTTAATACATAGCGAAACTATGTCTGAACAAGATCTGTCCTCGAAGTAATAAGGACAACTGTTTTAAGGTTCGCTTATGCAGGCTGTTCGAAGGAAAATATATCGATAGTGAGACGATTATTCCGTCTACGAAGGAACTTGGAAGCGACTTTTTCTTTTGAGCGACGACTCGATATTGAGATTTTAATCCGTGGCGAAGATTTGTTCACCATGGAACTTTTCAATTACAATTGGATACAATATCTCGTCACATCGCCAAGGAAAAGCCGATTGCCAGAACGCTCCAAGACTCCAAGAGCCCTTCGCTAATACATCCCCTTTCCTCGACATCCCTTTATTACATCTGCATATGCAACGCGTATCACATATACGAGAAACATGCGACGCAACACATTTACGTTTGATAACATGTCGATTAATTAGCACCGATCGCGATTTTTTTTTCTTCGGCGTTGTTGATCAAACGACGCCAGGTGTAACGAATAACATGTCGAGACGCATCGACGAAGCGCTGCTTTTGCAGACAGGAAAATGTGAAAGCGACGCTAAATCGCGGCGAGCACGCAGTCACCGTCACGGAGAGCGAGCGCGTGACTTTCGCGCAATTCTTCATCACAATGTGTACAATCGGCATCAGCTGCCGACGATGCTAATACTTAACGAAACTAAATGCTACAGAGTCGACAAGAAGTAATTACAGGTATACCTTGGTCCGCTTGGCCGCGTCGCCGTGATTTCGCGTCGTTTCAATTGTGTTCCACCGATGGGGAACAACATTCGCAAAGCAACGCGATCGCTTTTCCTCAATTGCTTTTGTTACGCTTAATAGAGTCCCGTTCTTATTCAACCGTTTAATACCGCGGTGCCACTTTTAAAAAAATTGAGGTCCGGGAAAACCTGTATAAGACAATTCAATCGACGAATTTCAAAAGTGACGAATATCTTCTATATGTGACCGTAATTATTCATCGGTTGAACTCGGCGAGATTCTGTGGTCAGCAATATTTGAGTACTAAGTGGTTTCTACCCTTTTGGATAGATTGTACGTTCCCTGCGCTGAGAAGCTAAAACTGACATTTCCGTGCTAAAAGTGAAATTCTTACTGAAAAAGATTCTTAAAAGTGATAAACCAAATTTTATACCGACAGTATATTATATAATAACGCCAATATATATACTGCACAACGCCCGAATGCCACTTTTGTTTTAAAACGCTTCAAATCTGGAATATACGCTTAGAAATTTCATTAGCGACAAGAATCGATTTAGCACGTTTCTTAGTCAGTTTGTATCGCAGGCGAGTGTTCAAGAATTCACTTCGATGACGGCGTATCTAACGAAGATTATCGTCGTACAAATTCTTTTACATCGCTCTTGCTTGGTTTAATACCCTTTCAAATAATACGCGAGAGACCATCTTCTTTCGTCGCGCACAATTCTTCGATCTCTCGCGGATCATGCATCACGCAATACAAATCGCAGTGACGAACGTGATACTGTGCTTCGATGCTCTGAATCATTCACCATTACATGCTACGCTTTCTTTTCGATTTAACTCTCTATTGCCCTGTGCCACGTCATATACTGGTTTTATTATCTTCCTCCTTCGTGTTCCTTTTTTTTTTGTCAATAATTCTAACTTCAAGTTCCAACATGGGAATTCGTTTCCAAGCTTTACGTTTTCAAAAGCACAGATTTATTTTAATTTATTGTGCCACATGCTTTCCTTTGAATCCTGAGAGAGACGACTTGGGCGATAGAGAGCTAAAAGTCCCATGCATTCGGGACGGATGTGCATTCGAATGACCACCCCATGCTCGATGGCATTATATGTTTGCGCACGCTACAACTAGGACATTGTAAGATCCGTTCGTAACTATAAACGAATATTATATATAGCGACAAAATATATACGTGGGACCGTAAAAGCCCTTTGTGAAAGATTCCGGAAACCTTCAGGCTCGATTGCGCGACGGTACAAACTTCTGTTCTCGCTTACATAGCTCGTTGCTTACATCTAACGCTGTTTGTGTAACTCTTACGTTTGATATCGATAGAGGAATGCGCGTGTCTGGCGATCCTGTTTCCGTCCCAATGGGCTAAGATCATTTGTTACGAACGGAACGCGATGATCGCAGACGTCGCGACGACAGGTACAAGTCAATCGGAAACGTACGAGCCGTGTGTTTCGAAAATAACGCAAGTCGCATTTTCAGTTCAGATAAGATCGGTCGACCTAATCGAAGACGATCTACGGAAACTCATAGGCATAGTTACACTAAGTTCGTTTGTGCCTCTTAGAATTAACAAGATCGTCATTTTTTTTTAGGAAATTAAGTTAATAGTCTATCGAACACGCTCTTGGCAATTATCAAAACAAGACACGCACAACTCGTACAAGATCAAATCTGCTTCCGATCGATAATACGCAATAACTTGGCGGCTTCTCCCGGATCCGATTTTCTCGACGATTCGCACTGCCTGTCCGATCTTCCTCGCGACACTACATCACGCTCATTCCCGTCGACTGGAATGGATTACATGTACTCGTACTTGATTAAATTATGACGACGTTATACTCGTGCCATGTCCGAAAGTATTGGAAAGCGCCGAAAACGAATCAACGAATGAACGAACGAGCGAGTGAACAAATCTACGTCGAACTGAATGCTCCCTTTCTTGTTCGTGCACGGGTGTGTGTGTATTCGTATGCCGGCCCTCTCTTCGTTCTAACGCTTAAACTGTGTAAAGTATTTTTTTTTAGGAACTTATAATACTACTCGTGGCCGCCGACTGACCCGACGGCGACTGTTTCGTTCGCGCGGGTTCAACAAAATGCGTCTACGTGTCGCGTGTCCGTGTCAAAATCAAACTATATACATACATATACATACTCCGGCTATACCCCGATAATCTTGTGCGATCTTGCTTTCAGTCGACGATAACTTAACGCTCTTTTTTCCCTTTTCTCTCTTTCTTTATTATAATTTATCTAAATGCGCGCGCGCTTCGCCATCAGCGGCTGATTATAATCGAAGGAGGAACGCTAGCCGCTGCAGCGTAAAGATTCTCTAGCTGGGGTGAGTCGAGAAGACCAACGTTGTTCATTCAGAAGTCGACGGAGCGGTCGCGCGTGTCCCCGATCCTCGCTTCTCATCGTGGAATGTCGTAGACGGAGCAAACAAGAAAACTCTTCGCGCTGGCCGTGATTCCGCTTTAGAGCCATGGTACTTGTACGTCGTTAAATGACGAGGATCATGCGGGAAATATACACTGCACTGTATACCAGACTTCCGATAAGAGTACCACAGCTCCTCCACGGGACGCGCACGCCTGATCGCTCCAGCTCTGGCCGAGAAGAAAAAAAGAAAAATAAACGTGCAAACCCACGTAAAAGCGCACGATTGAGCTGATCGGGTCGTTGTCGTCGTCGTCTGCTAGTTAGACCGGGCTATCTTGTCGAAAGACAGTCTCTCTCTTTCTCTCTCTCTCTCTCTCTCTTTCACTTTCACTCTCTCTTTTACTCTCATTTTTCTTTCGATCTGTTGCTACTAATCGATCATATGCACGACAAACTCTTCTTCGGAGCGTCAGGATCACTGGACTCCCTTTTAAGTCTCGAAGAAATCGCTGATCTTACGCGTACGAGTTTCATCAACGCCCGCGCGTGGACTTCCGGTCCTCCACAGCCCTCTCTTTCTTTCTTTTCTCCTGATTTTGTTTCCCCTACTTTCTACCGACACTCGCCGATCTTCATCCACTCTCGAACACGCTTGTAAGATTTTCTACTTTATCACAGATGTTTTATTCTCGATTTTATAACGCCCTGCCTATGCCTACAGCTCACTCGGTAACAATCAATCAGGGATCCTAGTATCGTGTTTCCCCCGTGTTGTTCGCATACTGTGCATGATTACGCTTTCGACATACATTTCCCGTGTTAATTTCTCTATCTCTCTGTCTCTCCCTGTGTTTTGTATAGTCAACACGTTACAATCACAGCTCTCGTCTCGCCATTAATGTGCAAGAAGACACGATCACACGCTAAGGCCTGCCTTAGTACAAAAATATACATTCGCTTCTTAAAAAATAGATCTTAGCATTCTGTACTGGCTAGCGTTCGTTTGATATTTTACAGTATTTTGATTCTTGGCAGGCTGCTTTAAGGGTTTAGTTTATAATATCGGCTTCTGTAACGAGAACCGCCGTCGAGTGAGCTCTCTCAGGGCTTATTCCGATCTAAACGCTAGCTTGTGCACCATCCCTTTGTTATTTATTTCGCTTTCGCGACGCGCATATTCATAAATACGTTCGCATCCGCTCGATCGCAACGGCGAAGCGATTTAGACCAGGCCGAGGTGGAAAGCAACGTGGAAGGAAAGCCGCGTCTAAAGCGCAGTGGAGAAAACACCGTGAGGAAAGACGGTTATCGCGTTCAATTCGGAACGGCGACAATTTTTCTTTTTTTTTTTTTTTGACCGGATGTGCTTTCCGCGTTCTGCCTCCTCTTATGAATATGGCAACGCGCGGCGGCAGCGTGCAGCCCGCTCGACTTGTATACACCTCCCTCGGCAGGTTCAGTCTTATGCTTGTGATTTTGTCGTTATCATGCTAGCGACACATAGTGGTTACATAGTTGCGTTGTGCCCGCGTCGAGCGGCTGCACGACCGCCTTTCTACACACGATATTACTTTATTACAGAGGACTCGCAGAGATGGTACTATCATATCACTTGATTTGTTTCTACGAATCGCGGATATCTTGTTATTCAAAACGCGCGATATCATCACGCTCCGCGCTCTCGAATAATTTTCTTATCGTTCTTCCTTTATTCGCACGCTATTAAATTTGTTCTTGCATAATTGTCGCATGGTTTTTATTCTCACACTTTACTCTTGCTTTCTCTCGTTCTCTCTCTCTTTCTCTCGCTCATTTATCACACTCACGCTGGGCACCGCGTCCCCGAATATAGTTTTTCTTTCTTTTTTTCTTCACGCGAAATTTTCGTTCGTTTGAAAGAAAAACGAGAAGAAACGTAAAATTACTTGGTAAAGTCTTTGTTCCGTCCGCGTGGTATCGACGGTCAGCGGACGAGCTTTAGTCGACTACGCTCGCGTTCGTACGGTATAATAGTTACGACTTTTGGAAACCCCTCGGTCGGCTCCTCTCGTTTCGCGTTAGACTTCTCCCCTTTCTTTCATCTGATGTAAAAATATACACGCGCGGAATACGAAATGAAAGGGCACGAGCGTGATATACCTTAAGTTGATAGCCGTGATCCTGGTGAACGTGGGCGCGTGTGCACATGGCGTACCGCACATTCACGAGGACGGCGGCCGTTTCTAAGGTGTTTAATCTGGTTATCTTTCTATGGTGGATGTCGCGTGACAGATTTTCTCAGTGAATTTACCCTTATCCGCGACTCAGGTACATATTAAGGCCCGTTCATCTTGTATAACAGCTGGTCGTATGTCGAAAAGAAACGCTTTTTCTCCACCTCGTATATTTTCATCTCCTCCCTCCTTTTGTGCTTCCCTTATCTCTCCCTTCTTCCTTGTATATTTTTTTTTCGCACGCATCTCCGCGTCGTTCGCGCGTGTATCCAGTGTCTCGAACGCATGGAGAGATATATGTACAGAAACCACATATAAAAAATCAATATTAATACACGTGTGACTATAAGTTACGATACACGATAATGTAATATAATTATACAAGGGCTCGAAAAAAGTAAAGAACCTCTCGGAATAGTAAACTGTGTGTATATACGGCATATACGGTTGCATTTTGGTATTTTATCTTTGTTACGAATAGCGCTCTCTCTCTCTCTCTCTCTCTCTCTTTCTCTCTCTTTTTCTCTTTTTCTCTCTCGCTTCCTTTCTCTCTTTTAAACACGCTCTCAGAATCGTCACTGTTAATCGCACGACAGAAATAGATGCGCGCTGCGTCCGGATGTTAACGTGTTTAAAGTTCGACAGATAATACAGTTATACATACATATACATACATATACGATTAGCGGTTAATAACTCCGATTTTACAGATATACCTACATTCGTGTATGTTCGTCATCAGCGGTCGCTAAGAGCACGATGAGTATAGACGGTTATACATATATTTGCGTTACTCGTTCAATCGCTACTCATTATCACCTATCGAAAGTTATACATAGACAGGTGTGGATATATATCAAGCGATCTTTATCTTTTTCGTTTTGTTTTCGCTCGCAACTGCGTTCTATGTACTTCATCGAGCGGACCGCGCGCTTTCCAGTACGCGCTATGTTAACATTTGTACAAAAGCGTCCGATTGGTCTTGGTATTAAAAATAACCTCGGATCGCTGTATTGACTTCGTGCTCTCTTTCTACTTTCTCTTTGTCTTCAAGACTCTTTATGCTCCCGCACCGCTCATTTCGACGAACTCTTCGCGAAGTCTTACTAGATATTTACTCTCGCACGTCATGCTCTTGGCGCTCGCTATCACCTAACTTCCCAGAGAATTGGAAAAATATGTTGTTAAACGCATTTCTACTTACATACGTTTATGGAATTTTGTTATTCTTTCCAGTGGAAGATCACGAGATCCGAACCTCTCTCTTTCTCTTTTTCTCTCTCCTACGTGTTGCACACTTTCTCTTTTTCTGCTGGACAAGTCGTTCGTATCCTTGCTCCAGCTCCGCTCTTTGCATAATACATCTCTTACAAGATTCACAACAGTCTTCTTACGTTGCGATCTTGTTCTCAGCTACGTCGTTCTAATGTGCCGCTCTCTTTGACCAGAATAATAAATGTTATATAAAATGTATTCTGGCTTCTTCTGGCAATATGACTTAATAGGCGAGAGGGACGATATACATTTACATATCGCACTTAATATAGTAATGTACGTTCGTGATCACACTCCTAACGTCACTTTGTCAACATCAAAGCGCGACTCATGGTTTTCCATAAGAAGAAAACTATAGTGCATATAAATCACTGGAAAGATCGTCTCTTAGTTGAAGAGATCATCTCATTGTTTGCAAATGTGTTGTAATTTGCATCAGATATATCATCAACAAGTCAAAAGTAGATCTAGTTTGACTACAATTTATCACATTCATATATAATAACCGATAGAAGTATTGTAAACGAGGAGAAAGTTATGTGTGCGTTTATCTCTCTTTATCTCTCACACATTGCATCCAGAATTCCCAACTCGGAAAATGATAACGCTATTGACAACGAGATTTCGAACTTATAGTGCATATTCGATGTTTCGCCCTCGTTAAAAAAATCTTGTAGAAGAATAAAAGATATAATTTGATAACATTACTTCTGAGAATGTTGGTGGCCCAGAGATGGTTTTTGGACAATCACACTGTATAGAGATTTTCCTTGGCGTCTGTCGAGAATTATTTCTGATCACTGAGAACCAACGGTATAATCACTTCTCTACTATCGCCGTTGAAAGGATCTAATATCACCTTTGGCAAATCTGAATCATTCAAGGGCCTCCAATGTGGACCCATTATATCTCGAATTTCCTAAATGTTAAAACATTTAATATTTTTAAGGTTACTCGGTTTCGCAATCGTTAGTTTTTTAATCGTAAATGTCTAATTTCTTACACAGAAGATAGAAAATATAGAAGGCAGAAAAAATACAGGAAACATTTGCCAAAATTTTTTTGTATACTCACACGTCTGATATTTTCAGCTTCGAGCCACAATTCAATTTCAGATGTGATATCACTTTTTGCAAATACCAATGATTTAAGAGTGTTGCCTCTGAGACGCGCGATGGCCAACAGATTCTCTTGATAATATTTATGACCCAGGAACATCATCTTCATAAGTTTATTACACTTCCATGCCACTAACACCAAAGGATCTGGACTATAATGAAATTATATACAAATTATACTCTCTCATCAGAAAATATATTAAGTCAAAGTATAGAGAATTTTCTTACCCATGTGGATCATTTGGATCAAATGTAGATGGTATACTTTGCTTGTAATCTATCGAATCTATCCATGTCAATGATTTTAACGTATGTGAATACCACATTGATAATCGATGTAACGCACTGATATTAATGTTTTCACAGAATAGAACTTGTAAGTGTGTCAGTGGCATAGCAGGACATAATATGTCAGTATCCAAAACCTTGACGCCGGCATAAGAATGTATAAGATTGAGCCTTAATTCACAATGTGGACTGCAAATAAATAAATATTTAGGTACGTCTTTTTTTAGTTACCTATTCTTGTAAACGATCAAAATAATTTTAAATATGACTAGTGTGACAATTACAGTAACTCACTTTTTTTGAACAAACATTCTCCAAGCCATATTTGTTGTTCCTGAATAATCCGGTTTCCAGCCATGTATATGAATCACAAGTCTCTGCATACATCCATTATCTAACGCTTCCAACAAAGTATCACTGACATACTCATAATCTAAAGTTAAGATAGACAATCTGATAAACGAATTAAAAATAGTGTTATCAAATTCAAAGAAGTCATAATAGTCAGGATCGTCCTTGATAGATGCCAGACTGAGGTGTGTTAAATGTTTGGAGTGATGAAGACGGAGAGGTTCCACAATTGCAGATAAATTCATAATCAACTCTTCCCTGCACCCTAGACTTAGGGCTTCCAGGCAATTAGAAGTCTCAATAATATTTATCACACATCTTACTAATGATGGAGAACTTTTGTAATTACTAAAATGCAAACAATCCAACTTTATTATTTATTTATTAAATGTAATAAGAAAGTTGATTTGTACACTAACTAAGATTAATACCTGTCATCCTCGTTGTCAAAAGGAGAATCACAAGTATTATTATTACTATAGAATTCCAAGAACAATTTTCTCAATTGTCTATTGTGACTTAATTTCTTCAAGAGCCTATACGTTTCTCCTATGCAATTGATCTTTCTAGATCTAGATTTAGCCCAACGAATCGTAGCTTCGTGTACACTCAGAGCAAAACGATTTGCCAAGAATCTATAACAAACATGCTATGTGTACCGTACAACACTTAATGAATCTGCAAACAGATGGTAAGTCTTACGAACCGAGCCCACAAAACGCTGTCCTCATCTCTGAACACAAAAGTGATTTTTTTCCAGAAGTTTGGATGAAACAAGGTGCATCTCCAATTCTTGCACACCTATGAAAATTGAATAGCAAGTCCAATGAACAAATTTTATATTAATTAAGCATAAATTTTTATGAATAATTATATAAATATTAATCAATGTTTACATTAGGCCTATTCTTTTTAGCTGAATTTCTTGCACGATTCATCTTTTTCTCACGATATTGGAGTAAAACAGAGAAAAAATGGACTATGCGAGTCTAGCTAAAAAGAATAAGCCCACTGATTATAAATAAAAAACAAGCCTATAGATGTAATAAAGATAACACATAGAACTGTCCAACAATCATTTTTACTACATTTGTGGTATAAAATATTTACAGAAGTTAACTTGACAATTTTTCATATCGCTAAAGATCTAATCTCTATCATGTTGACAAAGTTTATCGCTATAAATGATCGTTGGCATTTCAGTATCAATATACCCAATATACCGTTTTGTTACTCGATACAATAATGTAGAAAGGAGTATAAATAAAGAGTAGCGATTCCCTTTCTCCTCGCACATACATATATATGATAACGTTCGTAAACTTTTACCCATGCAAATAACGGTTGAGCAAGCGTATGTCAGACGAGAAGTAGATAGTGGATTCTCATTAGTATACATTCCGTCGCATAAGAAATATTCTTGCAAATGATGCGACAGCTTTATCAGCCACACAATGTCAGGTCAGTTTACAACGCAAACGATCGTGAAGAAAAGGAAAACAAGAGACAAGGCTCACGTACACAGACAGACAAACAGACACACGTATGCATACACACACTCTCTCTCTCTCTCTCTCTCTCTCTCTCTCTCTCTCACATTCCATATACCTGGGAGGCTCTTATTCTGGTCTCGTGCGACAAATACGAGAATATCTCCTGCAAAATAACGGTGGGCAGGTTGTCCCAGGACGGGCCGTGGTCCTCTTGCGCCATTTCTGACGTACGGCACGCAGCAGACATGCAGGACGAACAGCTGTTCGTCGCGCACAGCATAGACAGCTGTCCCTCGCACTTCCTCGACGTTGCCATCTCCTCCGTCGTGTTCGCGTCCCCGTTTCCCGACGCCGTCGCGACGGCGCCGCTTGTCGCCGCTCGGAACTTCTCCAATCGTACATCGGACGTGTCGTCGCAGGCGCGCATCATGTTCAGCCAGCCGATCGGCCAGAATCGCGAGCCATCCGTCGCTACGCCGTTCGACCTGTCGGCGATCGCAGCCGCGGGCGCGCCGTTCACAGCCGAGACGGGCATGTATATATACATATATTATATGTACGCGAGCCGATGTGTGCACGCACCGAACTCGCGATCGCGACTTCCTCGCAAACGCGAACTCACTCCCGTAGAGGCCGTAGAATCGTGCGCTTGCCCCAACGCCCCCAACACCCCCCAACCAGCCCCAACCGCCGCCGTGCCGCAGCCGCGGCGGCCTCTCCTGGCACTCCTGGTAATCCTGGCTCTCTCCGTCTCTCACCGACCGCGCGTCTGCTCGTATCATGGATGTGTATGTATATACACGTAGCAGGGTCGGATTCGCGCGTCGATTCGCCCACGGGTCAATGTCAATTTCCACCACTTGCGAGGAAACTCGCGAGAAAGACCTCTGTCAAGCTAGTGGGATCAAATGGGCAGAATCGAAAAAGACCTTTTGAACTATTTAGTGCTCATTTTGTGCTAATTTGTGCTACAATAACAATTTTGTACCATATGTCATTTAAAAGAAACGTGTGGCGCTGCTAGCTTAACATCAAGCTAGCAGGACCACAAGAAAAAAGAAAAAAAGAAAAATTAAATTAAATTTCAATAGTACTCTGATTTTGTGCTAATTTGTGCTAATTTGTTATCAGAAAGAAACGAAGCGTTTCAGAATTTCAGATGATTTACAATTCTTATATATAAATACATTAATATCTTATCTAAAATATTTTACAAAATATATAAATATCTTATTTGCGATAGACGACACGGAAAAAGAATTCGAAACCAAAATCTCTTTGCGGAGTTCGATACATATCGTTTAACAAAGAAACCGTTCACAAAATCGGGATCATATCTACATATAAAGATCAGAACGTTTTATCTTTGTGGGAGGAAATTATATACATAATCTGTAAAAATATTGGATGCAACTACACACAATTATGCGAGACTGTCCAAAAACGCGTTGACAAGAGGAAGAATACAAGGCAGAAGCTGAAGTTATCTGATAAATCGATATATCAATGATTTAATACTTACCTTACTTTTCGCTAGTAGATAACAAATCTGATGTATATTTTGAGATCGTTATTGAAAATATATAAGCATGGTGGAAAAAAATAACACCTTTATTTCTGTGTAAGATATTATTGATATATTGATTTATCAGGTAATTCCAGCTTTTCTACTTCGTATTCTTCCTCATGTCATCATGTTTTGGTATCAGCAATTTTTATTTTTATTTTTTAGTAAATGTCTGAAGCAATTATCTTGAAGATAATGTCTATAAGACGTTATAAATCGGGACATAAGACATCTTAAATATGTTTTTCAGGTAGCGCCAAAAAATATCTCACGAATTTTAAGACGTCTTTATAATGTCTTATATATAAGACGTCTCAATGTTTTCTTGGCAGACACACACATTTCCAGATGATACGCTTATCAGCGAACAATAACTGAATTTTTTTCGCAGCACTTTGTTATAGACGCACGTAAAATAGCTATTTTAAAAAAGTAAAAGAGCTGTTTTCAAATCCCAAAATGAATACTTTCGGCGACTGTTGATGTTTTGACTTATATTTTACTTGAAAGAATTGAGTCTTTTCTAAAGAAATAATACTCGAGTCTGTCAAAAGGTAGAAAGAAATGATTTTACGGAAATCCTTTAACAATAAATAGAAAACCGTCCTACTAAGAAAATGTGCATCGTGTGCCGCTGACTTTTAGACTATATATTAATTTAGAGTTTAGACTTTTTTTACAATGTTATACATTAATAAACACTAGAATTACTAAGTAGTTATACATTAATAAACACTAGAATTACTAAGTAGTATTTATTAATATACAGTCTACAGAAAAGCTTCAATTAATATACAATCCAAATAACTATTATATAATATTACTATAATTATTAAAAAATTGTTAAAAGATTTCGTTTAGGGTTCTATTTTTTTTAGTATAAATTTCATTCTTAGAAAGTTTACAAAAGAGCTTATCAAGAGCTTATCACACCTAGATTTGACTTCGATTAAAAATAATGACGAGATATCGTCAACGATAGTAATTTATTTACGTTAGCGATCATCAATGAGATCACGTTATTAACGATTAACTCGATAACTATTAATTATCGTGAGGTTTTTTTAAAAAAAAGAAGAAAGAATCGAGCATAATGTAAATAAAAGATAATATTATGAACGAGAATTGACATACGTTCTGAAAGTCTACTTTGCGCAGAAGATGTAATTCAGAATCGCGATTGGGAAAAAAGGTGACTTCAATCAAATTTCGATTAACCGGCGATTAATTCGACAGTAGAATTATTTACTGCAAAATTTTTGAACTATACGATTTACTATTCCTGATCCCTGGTCTTTCTTTTCGTGTATTAAATGTTAATAATTTTTCTATCCACGTTCAACTTCAACTCAAATAATATTCGATTGTTAAAATGATGACAAATAACGCCAGCTTGTTTGTTGAAGATTCAGGTAAGGGAGTTTTTACAATAACGTGAATTCAGATACGATGAACGCTAAAGCTCACGTTATCCTTTTCTTTATTAGTTATTAAGAAGAAGATAATCTGACCTTAGCGTTCATCGTATCTGGATAAACGGTATTGTAAAAACTCTCTATTGTCTTGACTAAGAAATATCGGGCCAAATTTTACCATGTGTGAATTGTACGAAAATAAGTTAACAAATATATTTCTTCCATGTATATAACAATAAATTATAATTACAGTGATATTAGTAGCTATTTGAGTTGTATATTAATTTAGACTTTTTTTAGACTATATATTAATAAATACAGTAGTATTTATTAGTTGTAGTATTAATAAATTTATTAATAAATTTATTAATATTAATATTCATTTATTAATATTAATACTAATATTATAATAAATACTACAGTTAAACTGAGGAAGACTAATTGTAAATCGAAACGTTTTTTATTTTGTATGGTTAAGATAATTAATTAAGCTAGAAAATGATAATGAAAAATCGATTTATTCGTCATCGATCTCTATTTGTTTATAATTGATATTTAACAAAAAGAGATCGAACGGAAACAAAATTATGTACTATACATTTGTTAACTAAGTTAGAAGATAATAATGATCTATTTGACTTCGATCTCCATTTGTTTATAATTTAATATTTAACTAAAGGAGATCGGATGCAAACGAAACTGCATGCTGGTATTTGTTAATACAAAATGCGTGATATCAGTACAAACTTACCTTTTTAAAAAAAGGTAAAAAAAGGCGATAGGAATATACGTATTTCTCGAATAGAATCTAAGTGATACGTTACGTAACTTTTTATTATTTCAACCCAAGTAATAGTAGTTTTAATTCTTCTTCAAAGATATTCTTATTGAAGATCCTCTTATTCCAATCCAAGTAATGGCAGCTTTAATTCTCTGTCAAAAATTATTTATTCCTCGAAAAAAGCTATTGTATCAAATTAAAATTAAAATTTAAAACCTAGATACAATCTTAACTAACCAAGCTAAATTCTATCAAATTAAAAAGTAGAACCCAAGTGATACTATCTATATTATTTACTTAATTCTAATTATACGTGTGATTTGTATAAAAGATTTGATATCAACAACTGGCGCCAAGTTAAATTCCACAAAATTTTATATATATCATTCGTGTATAAAAGATTTGATATCAATACTAATTGGCGTCAGTTAAATCCCATACTAATCATACTAAATAAAATAAAGGATATAATACACAAGTGGTACTATCTTTAACTTTTGTACAATGAAACCTAATAAGTATACATCTTTGTATTCTTATTGAAGGATCTTCCTATTCCGATCCAAATGACTTTAATTCTTCTTATATGAAATTTTTCGGAAATTTTTATATCGCAATTCATTCAAAGACATTTTCCCTTCCAACCAAAGTAATAGTTATTTAATTCTCCTTCAAAACATTATTCAAATTGCTTGTCCATTCAAGTATTACTACAAAAAATTAAAGAAGTAAACATTTGGCGCTGCTAGATCGAATACGAAAAACTGTAAAAACAATTCAAAAATTTTACAGTGTATTAGTTAAAAGTATGTATATTCAAACGGATTTTGCAGTTTTTCAGAGTTATACATAGATATATTGGATTATATTCTTTATTTTATTTGGTATAGTTGGTATGGGATTAACTTGTGTGGCGCTAGTTATTGATATCAAATCTTTTTTACGAATGGTACATATTATTAAAATTAATATTATTCATTTAAGTAAATATAAATAATTTAAGTGGCTATAATAACCATAAACAATGATAATGAAAGAGCATTGAACCACACTCGCACGATTTTAGTGACGAATAATTTTATAATTTAATACATTATTCATTTAAATAATGAATAATACATTATTCATTTAATTTGGTATGGGATTTAACTTGGCACCAATTGTTTATATCAACTCTTTTATACGAATAATACATAAAATTTTGTTGAATTCAACTTGGCGCTAGTTGTTGATATAAAATCTTTTATCCATTAATGATACGTATAATTAGAGTGCTCTTCTTCAATAAGAACATTTTTGAAGAAGAATTAAAACTACATTACTTGTGAATTGAAATAATAAAAAGATTCGTTATTAGAATTGCATCATACAGAACGCATAATTTCTAATAATTTATTGTAAACAATATCAAGCGATACATCGTGTGTTGCTGGTTTTATAATTCGTTCGATATCTCGGTCGTTAATCATTCAAGACGTGTGACACGCGTAGGTACATACACGTGTCACACGTCATATACATATGCGTCTATTCACGGTCGCAAGTCGACGAATTTTTTTATAACGCCTTTTATAGCTTTTAGCGCGAAACGGAGCGCGAGTGGCTACGTTTACACCGTGCATTTAGTCCGCGACCTATACGATAGATGGTTTTGGCTACGTTTACACCGTGCGTTTAGTCCGCGACCTATACAATAGACGTCTTTGTTTAACCTACAGGATAAACAAGGACATCTATTGTATAGGCCGCGGCCTAAATGCACGGTGTAAACGTAGCCCTTGTTTAATTTACAAGATAAACAAGGACACCTATTGTATAGACCGCGGCCTAAATGCACGGTGTAAACGTAGCCATTAGGTCTGATCGCGTTGCATGAAATCCCCAAATATTTTTGCACCTAAAATGAGATAGATATATATTCCTGTAATGTTACTGTAATATTGTATAAACATTAGAAAGTATTATAACAGCATTTACTTTAATTTGTAAAACTGTTACATCTGTTCAGTATAAGTATACGTTTAAAAACTAAAAATGATTATTCAAATTGCACAAAATTAAAAATAATTAATATTTATTAATATTTTAATAATGTTTCAGGAATATTAAAATATAATACCTAGGTTTATTATATAAGTAGACATATAACCTCTATAGAATACTCCTGTAATATTAAAAAAATATTTATGATATTTTCGAAATATTATAATAACATTATTTTAATTTTTTTAATAATATTCATGTAACATTCAAGGAACATTTTGCGCTTATAGGGTTTGGCCTTGAAAAGAGAGAAAGCGAAGATGCCGAATACCAAAAGTGCAAGCAACGCGAACAGACCTATTAACGCACGCGACTCTCCACGACATGTGCGTGTGCGTGTGCGGAGCGTCGCGCGCGCGAAGACGACACGGAACTGTCCGAAGTGTCCGAAGGTCGAAGGACGCATCGCGTCGCAGAACAGCTGGTGCGGGAGGAAGCGTGACGAGGAGGACGGACGTCTGGTTGTGCGCGCCGGGCGGTGAGCAACATGGAGAACGCGTTGGAACGTCGGACTGTCGTGTTGTAAACAGCGAGGAGAAAAGCTATAGTCGCCGCTCCGCCGTTACCGCGCCGTTTAAATGACACGGCACGATGACGCGATCGAAGATCCAGAAGCTCAGGACTTCCTGCTGGCGCAGACGGCAGTCTGCGATGGGATTTTCCGGGAGAAGAGAAACGCGTCGTCGACGAATGTGGACGGGAAGGCAGTTCCTATCGCGTACGATAATGCGGAAACGAAAGAGAAGCTTGGCGATAAGGACAGTCAAAGGAACGCGATCGAGTCGCCCGTTGACGCGAAGAAACCGGCGGCTGACGGCAACAAGACGCACGACATAACCTCGAAACCGCTGCCGTCAGACGTCGCGAATAAAACTGCGCACACCGGGGACACGTCCAGTGAGGTTCGTATCTTTGTTAAGTTCAAGCTGCATCCTCGTTCTCGTATATGGCAACTATAATTTTATTTTTCTTAACATAAATTGAATAACCTCGATTATCTCATAATGCGTGATACGTACATCCGGGAAGATAATCTCGCACAAAAGAAACGAAAAATTATAAAATTTTTCTGTGCGATGATGCTTTAAGAAGAAATATTATTCTGTATTTTTGACCTGTTTTCTCACGTATTTATATAATTTCTATAAAATAAAAGGTGTTTGCGATAAAAGGAGACTTTGGTCTTCATTGATTTGACACTAGCACGTTTCTTATATTTTGAATTTGAAACATCTTTGAGAACAAAAATCGCTTATTTATTTTATTCTATATTTTCATTCTGAATCGAGATTAAAGGCAACTTCTTGCATACGCAATGCTGCGAAAATAAAGGTCAAAAATAGAAAAAATTAATCATTAACTTATTGTGCACTGGAATGATTCTCTTGTATCATTTACTATAATTTATCGATGCTCACGGAAAAAAACCTTAGAATAATTTATATCTCGATTATACTAAGGCAATCGATTCTAATTCTAGTGCATAATTGCAGCATTAATGCTAATAACTAAAATATTAATGGTGGCACACATTAATTATTGGTACATATTTTTATATCAATTAAATATGAATATAAATATATATATTACTTTTTTCCATATTAGTAGATTAATATTAGCAGATATTAGTATTAATGTTTGTTTTACGTCGAATAAATATATTTATGAACTTCGTACACTTTATTTTTATAATTTGGATTGCTAAAATTTTTAGCCAAATATTTTTTAGGAACACCATATGTAAATTTAAATCCTCAAACAGAACTTTACAGATTGCATATATTATATTACTGAATTATATTTTTGTCTTGATTTTATTGTATCCCTATTGTTATTAATTATGGCACTTTGACGGAACAGTCCAGCGAAGGCCATACCTTCAACACAGGTGCTCTTGTACGTGGTTTCTTAGTCTTCGTGGGACTAAGCGTCCTTGTCATGGCCTACATCGTGTTCCGTAGTTTTAGGTACGTTTTAACAGACAACAGTAATGAGCATGAATTGATATGTATTCTCTAAAACTTTCAGGCCCAGTTCCACAACTCACGGTTAACTCTTAACCGAGGTTCAACTTATTCCTCATCTCTTTTTAATTCTTAGAATTGGAAAGAGATGAATAAATTAAACTTCGGTTGACCGAGGTTGACAACCGCGAGTTGTGGAATTGGGCCTCAGAGTGAATTCCTGTAGAATAAGGTATCTTTTAAAGATTGAAAATTGAGTCACTCTTTTTCAAGACTCAATTTTTATTCTTTAGAATGAGATTCCACTTCAAAGAATTTAGATACTTATCTGATATACGATTAATAATTTAATGAGTTTTGTGTTGCTTATCGACAGATTAAGTAAGACACGAGCCCAGTTGGTTCGAAAATACGGTGTCCTCACGCACAGGCAAGACGTCGAGATGCGACCGCTGCCACTGGATGAGGAAGACGATGAAGACACAACTGTTTTTGATGCGAGTAACGTTGTGACGATCAATACTCAACATCAAAACACATAGACGTGTCTCTTAGTGAAAAACACTGTTGCACTATTATATGTCATCCGTGTAATGTTCTCGACATCATGTGATTTTAATAACATCCAACTAACTTTACCTGCGATTCCGTGATGTAGATACACGAAGACTATCATTGCGAGACAGATCAAGGCATTTTTCAACGTCTTAAAAGTTATTTGCTTTGTGCAGCAAGATTATTACCATCAAATATGCATCTGTGATGCACTTATCATTAACGTACTATGCTTGTCAGCAATAGATGTACTTTTCGTAAAAAAAAAACAAGCAAAAAAGAAAAAATACAAAAATTTCTACCAATACTCTCCACCCTGTTAATATTACTATGTGATAACACAAAAGTTTAGATATGTATCGTCTAAGAAGAAAAGTTAAAGGGTGGCTATATCTCTCTACTCTTATACAGATTATATTTTAATTAATCTACGTTGTTATAATTAAAATTATATAAAAAGACATCGATTGTCTATATTTTATTTAATTCTACACATTTTTAATAAAAATTGCGCACGCGTGCGCGCATAAAAGTTAATTGCACATATGTATAAATATAATTTTGAATATATATACCTATATATATATATCTATTGAAAAAATATAAATTACAGTGAAATTTTATCAATAATTAAATATATTGGTAATTGTGTATATATATCTATAATACTATTGCAATATCATATATATATAATGCATAATATATGTTATATATATATATATATGCATTATTGTATTGAAATGATAATCATGCTTTATAATCTTCTATAACGCAAAAAGATGAATTACATATAAATATCTTTTTTCATAAATAACCATTCTCAACTGCGTGAACAATTACGTCTGCTAATCTTTGCCTTCCACTTGATGTTTTAATATTAGATACCGTCCATGCATCAGCAATATTTACTGCCTCATCGCCCTTGATAATAGCATCTAAATCGAATGATTGTGATGGGTCCAATAGACAAAATGGGACAGATTCCAGAGCGAACACTAATCCAAGTATGAAATTTTTTTTCACCTACAATTAATATTGAGTATTAGTATCTATATAATTCTCGTTTAAAATTTTGAACGTAAAATAGATACTTTACATCTTCCAAAAATAAATCCCACGGATAAATCTTTTCTGGTTCAGATCCAAGAGATTTAATGGCGCTGCTCAATTCGGAGTGATAAACTTTTAATATGTCATCATAATACTGATCTCGAAATGGCTTCTGAGTGCAAGAATAAATTAAAAACGATAGATCTGTGGCAGGGCTAGCGCAACGTGCAAGTTGAAAATCCAGTATTAGTGCTTCTTTTTTATCTTGCCCAATGTCTCGGACTAGAAAATTCGGGGCCCAACAGTCACCCGCGGCTATGACAAACGTCGGGGCATCTCCTTCACATAATTCCGTACACTTGTCGTAAAGTGTACCAAATTCATAGGAATTAAATTGCTTTTCAGCTTTACTGTTAGGATATTCCATCATTAACGCATGTTTAGCTATATCCACTAGCTTTTTCTATAACAAAAGATTATACTTTAATAAGAATTATATTGAAAATGCAATGCGTAATGTTACTTACATGAAATCTTTGGTACCAGTTCCAGTTATGATTACCAAAGTAGGTTTCTTTTAAATAGCTTGTTATTTCTACGAATTCTTCTTTTTTTTGGTCTCTGTATGCAAATGAAATTGCGTGAAATTTCGCCAAAGTTTCTAAGATTACTGTACATTCCACCCAGTCGAGGCAGCTTTGCCTGGACGCAGGTCCAAATCCTAGGGGAGAGACGTCTTCCAAGACTATAAAATCATTTTCACCATCCATGTAAGAGGCCAAGTAACGTGGTATGTGCAGCAGATTGTTTTGTCCTCTCTCTGCTAAGAATTTTTCAACCTTGGGGATAATCTATAAAATTGTTTTATATTTATAAACGTTTTATTGTATTATTACTTGATTATATATAACTAATTCATCTTTTTTAAAGATACATGCATTTCTAATTACATAAAAAGAAAGTTTCGTACAGTCTCACCTTTGTATAGAACACGATTTCGTTACTGAAAAAATCTTCGCTCCTGAAAGTCTTTCTCCTACCAACGTTTTTGGGAATTGACTTTACGACGAAATTAACTTGTACTTGTTGCCCGTCCACAATACCGTACAGAATACCCTTGTTAACAGTCGACAGGTAGCTGTCACCCTTGGCAAATCCCTCGCCAAAATTCCAATCCGTCAACTGCATCTTTTTCCCGTTACACGCTTTATGGAGAACGTCTGCCAGCACCTCTTCCGTGAACTTGTCACTCACGTCGCTCAAATTAACATGGTTTTTAGTTTGACTCATGATCGCGATTTCTTCTACTTTCGTATTTATTAATAAATTAATTTAAGAAACTCGACAATACTTTCGAAATACTGAAATCTGATCGAGAATATTAAATACTAGATTTAAATACTGTGTGTGCGATATTGAAATTAATATTTATGTTAATTTAAAGGACTTTAACGCGTCTATATCGATGCACGTGTCGATTAAAATCTACTTTTATAAGATATATTTCGTCAAGAGAATGTAACAAATAGGTAAACAACACTAAAATATTAAGTAAAAGGCTGATGAAGCCGTTGTGGTATTTATACTTATAACGCAATTGTTATCTCGGATGTGATTTATAGTAATTTTTAAGTATTTTTCTTAGATAACTCGATCCCTTCTCTCCTCGTGATAAAAATAGTCTGTAATTCATACATAAAAGCATCTTGTCATTTCGTAATCTTCAACTTTTCTACAGTACAATTTTTGACAGCATGATTAATTTATATGCTCACACTTACATATACACAAGTCTCTTCTCTACGATCCAGTTCTTCTCGCCGAAGGAGAGAGGGGGGGGGGAAAAGAAATGTTTACGTCGGTCGTTCTTCACACGAGTGCAGTCGATCGTAATAAAAAAGACGTCCCGATTGTTGATACTGTAATCGCACTTGAGCAAACCTCGTAGATTCCTCGCGCATGAATCTGCCACGTATGAAACTGTGACGTTACATGGAATTTTCCATTGTAAAGCAGGATCTTATTGAGTTGTATTAAATCAACCAGGCTCGCGTAGAGGGGACGAATTAAATGGTACAAACAGCGGCAAAAGGCTGTAACGGGAAATATGACTGAACTCCAAGAACCGCCCGTCTCTCTCCGTCGACATTCTGAACACTGTAGTAGATAGACTGTAGATCGTGCGCATGTTTCTACCATCGATTTGCATCGCGAAACTGCGCGAAACATAACCTTACGCATTGCTGGAGGAAACGAGAAGATTCTCCGACAGAAAATTTCATTTGGAACAGCTGATAAGAAATAGAGATTGTTACCACATAGACTGCAAAAACCACACTCTCTTTTTTTAACGTTTTGTTTTTCTAAGTGGAAAGTTGGATTAAATAGCAGTTTGCCTTTTATTGACTTTTCTTCCGCTATGATATTGCAAATTTCCTTATGATTATGATTATATACTGATAAGGATGTGCTCCGAACTTTGATAAGTCACGGAATGGTATGCATATATCGCTTACCGTAATGTACGTTATGGAGATTATATAGCGTTTCAGAAAACTTGAAAATTTACAAGACTTTGCCTTGGCAAAGAAAAAGAATAATAAAAAGTTGTAAAAAATATGTTACGTAAACATTGCTTTTGATGTAGTTGCATGCGAGCAACGTGATCCAATTATTATTTTCTTCGTAGTTGATATAACGTTACAGAAATATATAAAAATATTAAGTGTATTCTAAAGAAAATATATTTTTAATCAGAAGGAATAATTATTTAAAGGACGAATAATTAATAGGTAAAAAAAATGTCCTTCCCCCCTGTATAAGAATTTCTTTAGAGAAATTAAAAATATTTCATTTGTTTATAGACATTAGATTTCTATTTGTGTGTCACAAGAAAACTTGAATTATATCCAATAATACATTTGTACCGTTTTAATAAGAACCTCTTTAAAGAAATTAAAAATGTTTCGTGTATTTAGATATGTAGATTGGTTAGTGTATCACAATCCTATAAGCACACAATATTCCTAGAATATTGTATGAATATTATTAACCCTTTTTAATATTCATATAACATTCAAAGAATATTGTGTCTTGTAGAAAGAAAACTTATATTGAATTGTATCGAATAATACGCTTGTTAGTTGTTTTAATTATATTTTACAGCAGATAATGATCTTATAGTAAAGCTTTCTTCGTATTATATATATCCTTTTTCGACAGCGTGAACTATCACATCCGCTAGTCTTTGTCTTCCGCTTGTTGTAAAATAAGAAAATGACATTGCATCACCAATATCTATTTCTTCATCACTCTCAACAGCAGTGTCTATAGTAAATGATTCGGATACATTTATCAGGCATAATGGAATAGCGTCAAGCGAAGCAAAGACACCAAACACAAATTGCTCCTTCACCTGCAATTAATTACACATTAATTATAATATTTTGTCTCCTGAGAAAAATTATCATAAAGCGATCTCTTTTTACCTCTTTCGTGAATAAATCCCATGGATAAAGTTTCTCTGGGTCAGACCCGAGTAATCTGATGGCATTGCTCAACTCGGAGTGATACGTTTTTAACATCTCATCAAAATATTGATCACGAAATGATTTCAGAGTGCAAGCGTAAATTACAAACGACAGGTCTATGACAGGACTTGCGCAACGTGCAAGCTGAAAGTCGAGCATCAATGCTTGCTTTTGATTTTTTCCAACGTCGCGGATTAAAAAGTTTGGACCCCAACAATCACCCTGTACTACGACAGATGTAGGAGCATCTCTTCTATCGCATAGTTCTGTACACTTATTGAAGAGAGCACCAAATTTGTAAGAATTGTATTGTTTCTCAGCTTTGCTGTTGGGATATTCGGTAGCTAATGCGTGTTTAATTAGAACTTGTATCTTTCCCTGTAAAAAGATTCTTTTATTTCAGAAAGAAAACTGATTCTATCATTTCGCTGTTACTTACATGAAATCCTTTGTACCAGTCCCAGTGTTTATGGCCGAAGAAGGTTTCTTTTAAAGAATTTGTCATTTCTGCAAACTCTTCCTTTCTTTGATCTTTGTACGCAAATGAGATCGCGTGAAATTTGGACAATGTCTTCAAGACAGCTGAACATTCTGCCCAATCTAGGCAATTCTGTCGTGAGACGGCACGAAATCCTAAGCAAGAAGCATCTTCTAAAACTAGAAAACCGTTTTCGCTATCCGTGGAGGAGATTATATGACGTGGTATGCATAACAGATCGCTTTGTCCTTTTTCTGCTAGAAAGTTTTCAAATTTGGAAATAATCTGTAAAATAATTAGAGAATGGTTTATTTGATTACACAAATAAATATAATTTTTTTCAAACGAAGATGCACAAGTCTCAGAAAAAAAAATATAAATGTCTAATCTTACCTGCGTATAAAAAGCGATTTCGTTACTGAAAAAGTCTACACATCTGAGAGTCTTTCGTGTTCCAGGATTTTTTGGCATTGACTTTACAACAATATCCGCTTGCACATGTTGCTTTGGATCACTATCGATAATGCCATTCACTTTGCCCTTGTAAACATTTGACAAATAATTATCACCTTTAGCAGATCCCTCGTTAAAACTCCAATCTGTCAATTGCACTTCTTTCCCATTGCATACTTTGGAGAGGATATTTATTAGCACATCTTCTGTGAACTTGTTGTTCACTTCACTTAATGTAACACACTTTTTATTCAAACTCATTTTTTTTCGTTATTATAATTAATTGATACAATTTACTAATATTTTATACGTTAAATATTACACTATCTATTTATAGTAATACGCGAAGGATTATTATAAGTGAATGAATTAACGAATTATGAGCAATCAATGATGAGGTCGCTTTGCTTTATATAACTTATCTTATGCTTTATCAGTTTGATAAAGATATGAAACATTAAGTATAAGTGCACTACATTTCTATGTTATCAAAAACATTATAAAATGTAACTTCCTGGGATAAAGTCCACAAAGTATCTAATTTATTAATTAGCAGATATTTTAATGTGTATTAATGTTTGATTCTAATTAATATCGTTGATTAAATTTTTGTCATTAAAATAAGGGTTATATATTTTTATAGAATATACTTACCAAAATCAAATGTTAATAGATTTCGAAAGAAATCAATGTCGTTATTTGTTGTCTCATGTAGACATCATATGTAAAATATAAAATATATTTTTCAATATATAATATATATAAAATATAATATTAATAAATATTCTTTGAAAATAGAATAACATGATATTTTTCTATGAGGAATTTAAACGAAATGGAGAATGAAAAATGGAAAGAAATGGTACAATAAAACAAAATCATTTAAATATGCATACATAACTAACACATTATATTTATATATTACAATATAAAATTTGTTTATAGGAAACCTAAATTTGGGAACATTTTTGTGTAATGCATGTCAAATTATAAACTCTGATAGCAGTCTTGTAAAATTTATCTAAATTACGCTATCCCAATATAAATTAATAATGTGAACACAATAACCTGTGAAGGTATATTCCAACTAAAATTCATTTTTTATAAAAATGTAAAAATCAGAAGTATGTTTTACGTACATCTGCTGCATCTAGAATGACTAAAATCGCATTCGAAAGTAAGACAAACGTAAGACTTCGCAAAAAAGCTTTTATTTACATTTGTTCCGTTTCGTTTAGCGCCTAGGTAAATTTATAATTGCAATAAAATCCCACACAAATCGATCGCGCACTCACACTGATCACTTGTTGTGGAATGTTTCACATAATAAATACAGCTTCTGACATAAATTAAAATACAAGTCTTGCATCTTTTTTATACAACCAAGAAATGTATAAATTCCAATATCTCGAATAGAATCCAATCGGATTCCATCGTAACAGTAGATTCACTCACGACGAGCCCGTATACCTTATTTACAATGTCCATATATAAACATATACATTGCGACCTATCAATATACGAAGTGAAAGGTAAAAAGTACTATTTTGTACCTTAGAATCTGAGAAACAAAATAAAATGCTGGCCTGTGTGTGTGTGACATTAAATCGCACTTATGTCATCTATTCTAAATCGGTAATAGTATTTTTTTTTACGTCTTCCTTATTCTCCTTCGATTTATTAAATGTAAACCTGTTGACATTAGTCGCGTCTTGCCTAACTTAATGGCTAAACTTAACGTAACCCGCAATTTTCTTAATCTAGTCTTAGCCGCTAACTAAATCGTACAATTGGACTGAGTGATAAATTATCATCGACTGTACAAACATCGCTTTCAGCTTGACACAATCATATCCTAATCTCGGAATACCTGAATGAGAATCGTAATTGTTTTCCCCAGTTGAGTGTTTGGACCTCGCGTACAATTTTTTTGTAAAAAATATACTTCCTGCT